AATACAATCTTTAAACTGTTACATTCTTCTGTTGAGCATCTTTAAGATGATTCTTTATGATTGATAAAAATATATAACACAGCGGCCACAGCGGTTAAACATTTGTTTGACTTGTCCTACACGTCTTCTTTTAATTTTTTCTTATCTCGTTTACCGTCTCCGTAGAAAAACGGTTAAACGCGTAGGAAATATTTCGTTAAGCGAGTCATCGTGGGCTCGTATTAAAAGTAAATTACTTAAATCGTTTCAATTCATAATCTGATACATGTCCACTTCATCTGGAAATCTGGATGGCTGGAAGGAATATTGAAATTCCTTCCGGGTTACGAACCACCGTCGACAAAATATGTAAAAGCCGTGAAGTTTAACCGCGCTTCGGATTCAGTCTGTGGATTTCCGAATATCCAAAGTCAAAATAGGTTGGCAGGATATCTTGTTTAGGTGTTATATGGCTGGGGCATTTCACCTATCATAAAAAATAGAGGCTATTTAAATAAAACACTTTAACGGTTTAAAACGCGATATATCAATTAAACTTATTTAAAAATGATTTTGAAATGCGTCGGACCGGTTTCGGATGCTCTGCAGCAGCCGACCACGGCTTAAAAATCATTTTCAAATAAGTTTAACTAATATATCCCGTTTTAAACCGTTAAAGTGTTTTATTTAAATGTGTACTACTCGCCTAAACTAATAACTTACAGTATTATAATAGAGGCTAATCAATTACTTGCTTGTAAATAAAACGGATCAGTTTGCCCCGCACAGGGGAAAACAGGATCTAAATTCTAACTATACTAACAACCTCATTTGCTAAACTAGATACAGAACTCGTAATTAGTTACGAAAAATTAGCAGGGAACTAATTATGGCCAACTTTTAATAACCCGGGCAGGATGTTTGGCGAGGAAATGTCACGCGACGTCACGTTACACCGGAGTGACACCGAAATTAATTTCACGAAAACGGACCCCGCCGGAAGCGAACCCCTGACCTTACTTGATGTATCCCTTTGTCGATAAGGCCATTCGCAATTGATTAGCCGGCATTTCGGACCCTTTTAGTTGTGGGGCGTCTTGAAGCCTTAGCTGGGCCCGAAGGGTTGCGGTGCAGCGGTTAAAGGTTAATTAATGTTTTTCTTTTGTTTCGCATTAGCGTGACATGCCATTTCATGCAAAGTCTATCCTTTGGTAAGAAAATAAACCCGTGGAAGACATGTATGTATTGATGTATACTTCTGGTCAATTTCCGACGTGTATTTTTATTCAAACATTGACCAATATTCATAACATTACTAATAGAACAAAATCGTTAAATGTAAAATGCAACAAACAAACATAAAACACAATTGTATACTAAAATTAATGCGCAAGAGAGCATTCCGAATATTCAGCGCGCGTAATTTTATATGACTTTCCATCAAGTGGACCTTATGTTCGCCTCAGTCATTGTTAGGCATCTGTTTTTTTTTAATTTGTGCGACTTCGACCCTGTCTGACTGACTACTGAGCCATGGAGAGCTTTTTTAAATATTTTATAACTTCGTAATCGTGTTTAAAGCATCGTTTTCCTTCTCTTCCATATTGCCTCACACTTTCTAATGATGTCATTTAAACCGAATGCATTACGCTTGTTTTCGTTTTAACTGCACCTGGACACTTACTGCCCAACGCCAAATGCTTTTTTAATTTATTCTAATTTATTCCCGTTTAGGTTTGGTATGACTGAGAGCGTTTTGATAATTTTATGAACTAGAATAGGCTCGATTTTTTTTTAACTAAGGCGATTTTTTTTTAAAAAAATACAAAAAGCCTTAAATGAGAACATGTAGAATAATTAACTGGTCATCTACTATAGATAGATAGAAATAGTTTTATTTTTTTATACTTTGTAATCATGCAGGATTTTTACAAACGGTACACATCCGTATGTAATGAAGCAGAAACATTCAACAATAAAAAAAATACATATATATTTTATGAGTTCTTGAGACATAAGGATAACCTAGCCACCCCCAAATATAGGCTCCATAAAAGAACTCATTCATTTTCGGAGAATTGTATTCGTATGTTAAGGACATTGCCAGTTGAGGTTTAAAATTTATCAATAAATAAGTAAAAAAAAGTCATAAAATTTAGATAGTCTGAAAAAGGCGTATTATTATTTAAAAGATATCTTTAATTACAGGGCTGCCTGGCAGTGTATTATTTGCCCCTTTTTTTTTAATTACCCAAAAAAAGTTTTTTGGGGAAAATTTTGCAAAAAGCCAGACTGGGTTTGTTGGGTGTTCTTCCCGGTTATGTTATTCTGTAGAATCGCGACGAAAGGACGACAAAATATTATTTATAATTTTACAGAGGATTAAGTATATTTTATTTTATTTTAATTCTACTAGGTTATGTCGCTCCATATGAAAAATAGTTCTAAGTATCTTATGACAGCCATATGATAGCACAAATTAAGCACAATGCGCCACAACCGTTAAATAATCAAAAGTAAGTGAGTATTTGAAAACATTAATATTTTTCACTGTTATTGCACATGAAGGCACTATATAATTTAAAATCGAAAATAAATTGAAAAAAATATTTTCGAAATAGAGCAACAGCACGGAAAGCTGACGATCCTTCAAGTCCTGGAGTCGAAATTTTTTTCAATTTTTCGATTTTTAAATTAAGTGAGTATTTGTTTTTTTTTTCAGAAACAATCACATCGAGTCTTCGCTTAGCTGACTGCTAAACTCAACATGTAGCCGTATAAGGTAAATCGCTCTCACTGAGACCACGCCGCAATTAGTCATAGTTAAGTGATACACCTGCCTGACATGCGATACAAACGCATTGTTGCTGCGTTTACCTTAAATTCACTACGCTCATACTTTCTAGCCCAGTTTTGTAACAACTATCCACATGACAGGGAGAAAAATGACGACGCAGTTTGTTTTGTTTTCTGAACTCTACTTGACATGGTTCATTAGAATTATTTATAACTTCGTGTTTCTTAAGTTATTTTGAACATTTCTAAGTAACTTGCTCTTGTCTTTTTAATGATTACACTAAAGGAATAATGAATCAGTCTCTTAAACGTTCTTTAGATGACTTGTTCTTAAGTAAACTCGACTGTGTTAAACATATGAGTTATTAGTCAGAACCAGACAGCTATACATAATATAGAAGAATCTCATAACGTGGTACTAAAAATTAAGGCCTTTTAACTTATTTTGTAAGCATATACCAATTTTTATTTAATATAAATATTTTTCAATATGGTAAAATTTGATTTAAAAAAAAATTAAGAATCGTTCGATAGTAGTTTAAGTATTAGTTTGTATTATTGAAACTAATATACGTCTAATGAAACACTTAACGGTTTGAAACTCGCAATTTTAGACGTTTTAAGCTAATCTGTGGCTTTGACAAAATTGTTTTTATTTTTTTGATACTATTATTTTAAATTCAAATCTTGGCGCGTAGCAGAGCACGTTTTAATTGTTTATTTAAAAGGTGTTTACATAGTGGAGTGCATTAGATGATAATAAAACAAGAAAATACACAGTTAAACATAATTTATTTCATATTATTTTAATTATCACAGATCCATTTATTTAATAGTCATCACGTTAACAAAAATATATAGTCTACAGTGGTGAGGATTTTATATTACATAGATCCTGTTCTTAGTCTCAAATATGACTTCTTGAAGCTACCCCGCATTATTAACATACTTTTAAACCAATCAAATCGCATTTTTCTCTTACTGCAAACATTTATTGTTATATCTTAGATAGCGAATTTTAATATTTGCAATATATGCAAAGATTCTCTTCCAACTGTAACCTTTACATAGCAACAAGTCATATTTCAACTCATGGTTATATATTTTCACTACGTGTTATTAAAATTATTTACAACATATTTGTATACTATAAGTGGCATTGTATTTTATGATCGAAGATTATGTAAATATTAAGTTAAAAAATGTCAAAGTCGAGACGTGTTTGGCTGCCGTAATTATAGAGTGACCCCTTCACTTAATCGAGAAATGTCGAAAACCATTTCTCGTTTACGACGGTCGAACTGCTCGAAATCTTAAGAACATTGTACAAATTACACATGTTTGATTTTTTCAAACATTAAAAGTTATGTATGAATCGAAGAAGTGCCACTTATAGTAAGCAAACATGAATTTTCGGTATATACAAATTGTTAGAGTCGATACAGGAACGAAATTACCTGGAATTTGTATCCATTACAGAAGTAAAGTAAAAAACCATTACAATAATTACCGTCTTATAAATTTTTTCGACAATTAACATTAAGATATTTTTAGTCTTTAAAACTTAATATTTTAAATAATTGTAGTGAATAGAATCTAGTATTAGGCAGTGTGAGTACAAAGTATAAATGCATTCAAGTCTTATAATAAACAGTTAAGCTATTTTTACAATAAGCTCTCAATAGTGCGTGTAAAATGCCATAAATTAACGTACGTTTACAAGAATTTGGCACGTCTCTAAAGGTACGAAAACAACAAGCTCGATTTCAAATAAATATCATTCACGAGAAATAGAAGTACGGTCGCATCTATTTATTAATTCGTGACAAAATATCCTTATCCCCGAGGAAATTAATATCCATCTTTACGGAGATAACAAGCTTGCAGTTCCGCGCGACCACATCGAAAATGAAAGAAGCATGAACGAAACTATATATTCCAATACATTAAACACTCAAACGCTTATAAAAATTAACAAAATAAACAACCGGCATACGGCTACATTCTTCAAAAGATTAGGCACTATTATTGCTACTATAATATAATTTATCCGCTTATCTACAGCATCGATAGGCCCATACGACTACCACGGTTTTACATAGGCCATCGGCCGATACTATGATTTCTAAGTAACATTTAAACTACTCAATAATTACCCACCTCGAAACTCTCTTCTAGGCCGATTCGGGCCAGTAAAAACCGGTTTATTCACGTTAAGTCTCAATTCATAACCAGGAAGGTCTATTTTGCAGCAGATCTGCTGCATCGTGCCTGTCCATTTGCCGCAGAGCGGTCGCCAATGACGAAACCGCGGCAGGGCTTCGCTCCCTACATTCCCAAAGCTCCAGAATAGCCTCAGTCGGCGAACTCTTAGTCGCGAACCAGGTGGTATACCTATCCACCCCCAATCTAGATGCTAACGCGCGCCAGTCGTTCCCTCTTGCATTTGGCGGATCCAAAATCGAGCACAATTGACGCTTAAGTCGAACGCTCAATTTGAAAGGTCCATCGGTTTCGTTTACCCCCGTTTCGTTTACAGTTACGTTGCGTTTCACGCTCCCCTCATCGCTGGCTTCGCTCCTGCACATTCTGGTTTCAAGTAAGTTTTCAGTTATATTGAAATTTCTCGTCTCACCGCGAGGCGACCGGCCCCTCGGCGAGTGAGTCACCTCGTCGACCGATATTCGGAACGTTTGCTTGTACGACGGATTGGTCCTTTGACATGCGGAAATTGTGAAGTCAATATTGTCGCAATTGTATGACCGGTCCAATGTGAAAATGCAGTGGATAGCGTTGGAGTTCGACGTCCAAATGTGGTGGAAAGGTATTTCTTGGTACGCCACTCCCGGCTTCGGTTTCCAGCCGGGGCTTACGTGTTCCAAGCTCAGGCACAGATTGGATCCGCCGTCTTGGAATAGTAGGGTTTTCGGTCGTTCCAAGAGAACGCCGCCCGATTTCTTCTCCTGTTCCTGACAGTAGTAAGTGGCGCACGGCGTGTCTTCGAATACGTAAAGTCGGATCGTGTACTCCGTGCATGAATCATTAATTGTGGGCGAGGCGTACACGGCTAATTGGAGTGCCTTTACGGCTTTTCCATTAAAACTTTCCCCGACCAGCACGAATGTGGACAGCATATCGGTCACGAGGAATATCTTGTCGCAGTCCAATTGGGTGAACACCGGTGTATTGATCGTCTCTTGGCCGAGATTGACGACTTTCTTCCAGTGCGGTTGCGAGTTGTCCTTGGAGTTGTTGTCTATCGCGTACAGGGCTAGATTCCAGAAGCCGTGCTTGAGACTGGCGCAGTGGGGTATTTGTAATATCACTGACTTGTTCATCTGAAGTCTAGGCGGTCCACACTTAACTATCGGGCTGAGTTGCGTGATACCTGCGGGCAAAAATTATTTTAAGCCTTCGGCAAAGTCGCTTTACATAAATTGCTACTTCGTATCAACAGTAATTACATCTTTAAATTGTCCGGGAACGGAGTTTTATTGTGAAGGCAATTTATTAAACAAATATTATACGCTTATTGCGAACATGGCAATTTGCGATATTAAATATCCCAACTGATTAGAATCGATTGGAACCGTTTAAGCAATTTATAACATTTTATGGCTTTGATAAATTTTGCAAAATGGTCTTTAAGAACAAACAGTTAGGGTTTATTTACTTTAATTATACCTGTCTTTTGATTATAAGTCGGGATATATAATTTCCCTTATAACATCTTGCTTAGTTTATTTAGTTACATCGATTTCACTGCATACAAATAACTATGTCTGGTATGATACGATTTACTTATAGAAATTTCTATTTGTATAAACAATTTAGGCAAAAAATTCTTAGGTTATTAGTGAACCAGGTCATTTTCTAACGTCTGTATTTTGCACATAATACATTTATTCCGCTAGTAGCCAATCTGTAATCTCTAGTCTATAAATAAATAAGCAAAAACATACCTTTCCCAAGCCTCGCTCTGTATCTGTCATCTTTGACAACCGCGACGTATATTTGCTCGCGGCGACCCCTACTAAGGGCACCTTCTGGTATCGAGAGAGCGACCCCGGCTGCTGGCAGAGCGAGTCTCGCTCCAGAACCCGAAACCGACAGCGATTGCGATGTTGGCGAGTTCGAGACGAGTTCCGCTAGTTGTAGAGTTACCGATTCATTTGTTGCGTCGTACATGGAGCCGGCTGTAACAAAAGTAAGATTTTGAATGTGTGGAATAAAATATACGCACTGTAAGCAATTTTAATATTCATAAAACACAAGAAAATAAAGTTATTTACTTATACAGTTATAAATAGTATACCAAACACATTAAAATCCTAAAATAACATGCAATTTAAAAATCTAATAAGAAAATAAAAAAAGTCGACACGGGCGGGACCAAAACCGGCATCCACAACGTACCGTGCTCTGCTCTAACCAATTGAGCCATCGTCGAATTTTTCAAGCCATTGACGAATGGACCTCTTGCGCAATGTAATTTGTGGTTCAATGTAACTTGTAATGTACTTTGTAACTTAAGCCATCATTAAATATGAAAATATTATAGTTTAACGTTTTTTACCTTAATAGTATTAGATTTTTTCTTACTACACCAACATGTGCAATAACAAGGGAAAAAATTATTTTCTCACATAGCTTATAAAATAAAGACACCGAATACCTACTTCAAAACTTTGGTAGTAGCATAAATACTTTGTTTGACATGTTTCGAGTATTCAGTGAGTATCAATAGTTGGAGCGAGACTGAGTCACAGCGATCGTCGTATATCAACCGGAAAGGGTGTAATTTACAACGATTCGTGGCGTAGATAAGGAATTTATCGGTATTAAAAGTGTATTTATGAAATTGTTTAACAAACCAATCAACGTGTAATTATGCCGCAAATACTTCTACTGTAGTTTGCCAAGCATTTTGTACTACTGAATGTAGCAGTAAATTTTCCTTATATATAGATATATACTATGTCTATGATGATAGCAACCAAAGCGTTCATATGCAAATGAATTACTCGTACAAGCTATTAGAAAAACTAATATTTACATTGACTGCAAATACTAAAATCTTTAAAATTAGTACTCTTTATTGGCCGATACATAAAAGCACATAAGTATTGGCTGTACTTCACGCAAGTAATGCACATTTAAATAAAAGGTACTTAACGGTTTAAAACAAGCGTGGTTTCTCTTTGACTACGGCTGCTGCAAAGCAACTGAAATAACGGGCCTTAAAATAAATTAAAAATAAGTTTACTAACATAATATTTCTCGTCTTTGAAACCATTTCATTCAAATAATAAAATATTGTTCCTTTATTTTTATTAATGACATCACAATCACACAATCACAAACACATCCTTCAAATTTTCTTCGTACAGAAACGGTTTGTGACGAGTTTTACAGTATCGGAAATGTGCTATTCAGGCACTAATTGGGGAGTCTTTCCTTAGTCGAGGAACGCAATATCTCTTGATGATGAATGATTACCTGGTGGTTTGTCAAAGATTTACCAACGCCGACGAAAAAAAACATTACGACAGCTACACAGCTTGAAACCCCAAACAGTTCTGCAATATAGCTACGAAAGCCTAAATTTATGTGCCTAAATTAATTTTCACCTAAGTTCCACCTGCCACATATTTCAGTACGTAATAATTATTAAATTAAACGAGGGATACTCACAGCTGGTGAAGCAGCTGGAAGCGGAATGTTCCGACTCGCTGTAGGGCTTCGTGTCGTATTCATCACTGTGACCCTTGCTTGACGCGCATGGGGTGGCTTGCTGGTCAACTGGCGATGCGTAGCTGGAAACAAATAGCTCTTAAGCATTTTATACAAAGGACAATCTAATACTGATAAGGCATACTTTGTATGTCTTTATATCTTTCGATTTGATTTTTACTGTAAATTAAACCACGTATTTACGAAAGAAAACAAAATATTTGATGTTTGATTTGTGGTTACTTGATGTAAATTCTGATAAAACTAATTTGTATTCAATACTTAATTTTGTTGGCATTACAAATTGTACCTACATAAATATTACACTGTAACTTACAATGTAATGTTATTTCGAACGCACATATTATGAAGTCAAATATTTTTTATTTAACCTTTACTGTAATTTAAGTTATAATACAATAATGTTAATATATGGCTATTAATCAACGGGTCGTGATACCCACCAGGTCCAATATGTTTATATTTTATAATAATTTTTCTATAAATATGTTTTATGGACTTCGTCTGGAAATCTGGATATGAATGGGTGGTAGGAATATCGAAAGTTAGTTTAATCGCCCTTCGGTTTACAATTTTCCTCCTCATTTAAAATTAAAAAAAATCACACATATGTGCCCTGGTCAACCGAACCTATTAATGCTTTCCGGGAATCGAACCTAACACGTCTTGGTCGTCTCTCGTTTACCCGCAAGGCGCTTCTATCGTCAATAATAGGGGTCTTATATGAGAAAAAATATAATATATAAAAATATACAGTATTCGTATATCTTACCTATTAGTCAAATGAGGTACATCGTAGTGATGTTCCGTTCTGGGGTCGGGTGGTGGATGTTCATAGCGGGGTGGACGATGCTGCATCAGGTCTGGGCCTAGCGAGAGTGACTGCTTTTCAACTGTCGGATATAGTTCCGGTTGGAAATCTGTTGGACAATATTATTAGGTTCAATAATCACTACATAGTATAAATCAATATCGCTTTTTCTGACTCTATGTGCGCGTATATTTTTAAAACTACTACTACTGGATTTTGATGCGTTTTTCTTAATAGATAGAGTGATTCATGAGGAAGGTTTTTATATACAACATTCACAGTTTTTTTGTAGCGTAGTTAGTATTAGCATGGCACCTGAGCAAAGCCGTGGCGGGTCGCTAGTAGTTAACATAAAAGCGAAATAAATATACGCAAATGTGAATGTTAATACTTCATATACAATGTTCTTTTAGTATCAATATTATTTTTTATGAAAGAGGGGGACGGACGGGTATGAGGTTCACCACATCTAAACAAGATGCCAAAATAGGTCGACAGCGCACCCGCCAAAGATAATGGATAGTTGGTTTTATGTGCTAGATACGAATTCGTATTTTACTAGCATCATTAATTTGATTTTCTCATTCATAAAAAACATATATCAAATTTTGTATAGTAAGTAAACAGTCCGTTCTGCGCTATATCCACATCTCAGGCGAATTTCTTTATCCGGTTATTTTTTGCTACATTTTGTTATAAACGAAAATTAAATGGTTGCATTCAAGTCATACTTGCTCAAGTTTACCTGTCCTAGTCATTGTGTATAAAGAATGGTCCCTGGTCTTCCTTTGCAGCAGCTTATAGAGAACAGCAGCGCCAGCTAGGAACACCACCACAGCTACAGCAATACCGATGTATAGTGGAATGTCACTGTGTGCGGCAACTGTAACAAAAGATTTTTTTATACATTTCTTGTTCAAGTCAGGTCTTCATTAAAAGCTTAACAAATACAAATATCTTTATGACCACAAGACAGATCATAAACAAAATAAAATTGATTAAACTAAGAACTTACGGCGGCTTTATAGCTAAACAGCTAACTCTTCCAAGTAACCTCGGTAGAAATGAAAACCCAGTAAGAAAAGAATACATGACAGTTGTATATAAATATCAAAATAGCCTTTAATCGCATCAAGGACATAGATAATTTACTTTAATTTGTGCCATAGTTTGCCACGATCCATGCGACCTCTTTCTTACTACAAAAGTTTTTCTGTCTTTCACATTCTTGCATTTGTCTTTTAATATGTGAGGCCTCTGTTACTTAATTTCTCCTTACCTCTCGTTATGTAATAGGCATCTTTATTTAGTCTTAACCTTCTATTACTATTGTGTTGCCTCGAATCATCAGACAGTTGATAGAATCGAGTGATTTTTTCGTCTGTCGATGTCTTATTGAATTGAGAGACGTTAAAATAGCTAACACAATTAGGAAGAAACGAAACGAAAAGAAAGAGAAAAAAAAAAAAAAAAAAAAAAAAAAAAAAAAAAAGGGGGGGGGGGGGGGGTTAAAAAAATTTTTTTTTTTTTTTGGAAAGAAAGGGAAGGGTTTTCGGGGCCTTGTGGTTAAAAATTGTTTTGTTTTTATTAAACTTAAACGGTTTTAAACGCGAAATATTTTTTTATTTAATTTATTTTAGCTAAGGCCTGATGGTTCGGATGCCTTGCAGCAGCCGTGGTCGCGGAGGCACAGATTTTAGCCGTTTTATTGTACAATTCGTGTAAACTACACATTATATTTACTATTTCGGTCAGATAACTGACGCGTTTGATATTTAAACTGTAACGACGAGGTAGACCTAACTAGGTATTGATTTTTTGTATTCTAGGCCATGCCAGTTTATTCACGACGTTATCTAAGTTACTACTAAGTTAAGAAGTAATAATTGAAGTGTTGAGTGCAATTTAAAAACACTCCAGTTCTTTTCAGATTCCTCGACGCGCGATTCTTCATAAGATACGAAGTCTAAAGTTGCGCGAAGCTGAATAAATTACAAAGTTTTAACTTGCTTTACAAGGAAATATTGCGACGTCACCGCGGCTAACTTTACACGGATACACTTTCAAGTTAATACATTATGTTTGATATGTCTTCAAAGTAGAGGTTGTTTTGCAACACTGACTTTTAAAGTTGGGCACTCGATTTACATTCTAAATGTTTAACAGCTGTTTGAAACTGCGAGTACACGCACATAATGATTATGTTTGTCTAGATATAGATTTCTTTTAGATATATGGGGTCATCCTCATAGAATACATCATCATAAAGTACGTCACACAAATTTCAGCCATTTACTTACATTTACGGGCCAAAAACTTTTTTTTTAATGTTTGTACCCCCCCCCCCCCCCCCCTGGGGGGGCCCACAAAAGAGGGGGCGGCGGTGTTTTTAAAAAAAAAACCACGGGCGGAAAAATTTTTTAAACCGGGGAAAAAAAGAACCCCTGTCTGTCCCGATGGCGTGTAAGGCACGGTAGCAAAAAATCCTTATTTTTAAATATTTTTGGCATTTACTACAATAAAGCCCCTATAACGGTACCTGTTTTATGTTTATAATACGCTGAAATAACATTGCCATGAATTATAAATATGTACCTAATCAGCGAATACCACGAAACGCCTCGCAAAGATATAACTGTCAAAATACTCTATGCCAGATAATCAACAACACCTGTATGATAAGCTTTTAAAATTTTACGAGTCGACAGTAAAATGTGAAATATGTTCTCATCGAAATGCTCACCGCGGCTGCGGTTTTAGGCGGGTTGCACACAGAGAAACATTCCTATGTTGCAAATTTATATTGATATTTCTAAATATATGTAGTGTTTACTCACAAATGTATATAAGGTCCTATAAGAGCTATTATTCTACTACTCCTACCAGTGATATTGAAGGATTAAATGGAAATTAAAAACCAAAAGTACACTAGATACACAAAAGGCGGTTTGCTTTGTGGCTAAAAGTTTAAACGTGTTGCCTAGCATTGCGTTAAGTGTATAGAATTTAATGAGGTCCTTGTTTCAAATTGCTGTGTAATAATTGATTGTTTGGTCGGGCAGGGACAGGTAGTCAGACTTAATAAAAAAACTAATCGAGAAATGTATTCACTTTAGTCCGGGAGAACGAAATTTTACTTTAACTACACAAAATATGTGTTAAAATGTTTCCCTTCTTGGTCGCAAGAAATTAAGTGCCCTATTGCATACTGCATAACTTAACATCTTACGTTATCATTGCAAAAATATGCCTAATACATAAAAGGTAAATATGAAAAGATCTTTATACAGATTTAATGGAATGAATAATTATTATTTATCTCTTTTTTATTCTTTATAAAACATCGCTATAAACTGTAACTTATTAAAGCGATACACGCGATAACATTAATGCTTTGTCTATAATATTTATACGCGATCGCCCCGCGTCTGTCCTGCCTAAGACCGCAGCACCAAAAGGTTCTTAGATGAAAAGTTAATGCTGCTTTTTATTGCTCACGAGAATAAGCATCGAGTTTCTAGCTATAGCTTTTAATATTATTTATGACGTCCCTAACTTTACGATTCGTCCCAAAGGGAATTTTAACAAGATATTTTTTGTCCAACCTCCAATTAAAGGATACGTTGACGTTACGCATTTTGGGGTTTAGTTCTTTTGATGTTCGTTTATTACAAAATGACAAATTAAATGTAAACTTTATACAAATTGTACACATATAAAGATTTTGTTAAAAATGTCTTAGATTGTATGTCTAGAAATCGATTTCTGGGTATTATTTATTACGGTGTCACTTTCAGAATTAATATAAAAACACAGATCACTGTGGATTAAGGGTTTGCGGTCCGTCCGAGTTATTGACTTACTTTTTTCAATCTAAAATGAATTTTTATTGATATTTAAGCTATGATGTGAAAATAAAGATGTTTAAATCAATTTAAAGTATATAGTTAATTAAAAAACGACTGTACACCTCATTATATTAATTTACTAATTAAGTAACTGTGAAATCCAAAACTATTTTTACCTACTAGTTCTCTAATAAGGGGCGTAGAACTAACGAAAAGAACTGGTCAGTAATTCTTTACATTCTCTTACTAACAAGGTACAAGGTTACATGTTTTTATGAGTTGAAAGTACAGTATGGGAACTAAAACAAAGTAATGATACACTATCTGAAGTTTAGGCTAGTAACATTTAAATAAAACGGTTCAAAATGCGAAATATATTAGTTAAACTTCCATTCCGGATGCTTTGCAGCATCCGTGGTCACGGGGAGGCAGGGAAACAACGGAGCGTAGTTAAAATAATTTCAACTAATATATTTCGCGTTTTAAAGTGTTAATTTAAAGTAATTAAGTTAGTAAGTAATTAATTTAAGTATTCAGCTAGGTACTTCGTACTGTTTATAAGTATTTCACACAAAAACGCCCCGATTTTTAAAAACCGCGCGGAAGAATGAAAGAGATTAAATAGTTTAAGTGAAAACATCGCGGAAATCCTGAAAAATATTTCCAGGAAAATGCAGCGAAACATAGAATTTAATTGTTCCAGCGTCTATATATTTTCGCAGTGCAGTTAATTTTATGTACGCTTTGTCACCCCGACCACGTTTGACCCACTTACATGCAGCCACTGCAGTAGGGTTGCCACAAGCGGAGACTTTTATTACATGAATTAAGAAGCCGCAGCGAAGTTTCCTCTTGGGCATTTCGAGTAAGACGTTAATATTTAACTATACAAGTGTTATGTTATTTTTCAATTTCGATATGCGAATCAAGTTATAAACTATACTGGTGCGTTTCAAATAATAATATTAAAAAGACAATATTCACATTTTTTCAAAGCACTTGAATTTCTTAAAGAAATCTTTAATTTATGCTTCTAGTTATGAGGTCCACTCTTGGCCGGTACAAAACGCTAAAGGCTGTTGCACAACATAGACTCCAAACACTATTTAAGTTTAAAAACACTTTTAACAGTTTAAAACGCGAAGTATTTACGTACACTTATATATAAGTGCAACTTGGCGTTTCATTTTTGATTTTTGTTTATAGCTTCTTGACGTTATACGATTAAACTTAATCTAAATGTTATAAACAAGGAGTAGAATTGGGACAGTGAAGGCTTAAAATATCATATCGTTTTCACGCGTAGACAGCCCTATCCCAATGCAGTGATCTCGCAAATTCAATACTACACGTGAGGTCGCGAAAAGCATAGTTTTTGGGGCAATTTTCTGGTAAATAGAAACGAGGGCGGGTCAGAGCAGCGCTGAACTCATTTACGTGCTGTTATTACTCCCCTTTATAAAGTATTACGGGATGAAAAGCCATTCTTTATCTATAACGAACGAATGTGTAACGTCGAAACATTTTGAAAGCTATGTAAAACATTGCTTATTTTCTGTAAGCACGAATTCGAAATAATTTGTAAGGATGTTTTGCTTACCTGTGCTTAATAGTTTGAACACATTTTGGTTAATTTGGTGTAATTTAAGAAAGTGGAAATGAAATATGTTATAAAAGTTATTTTTTAGCTTTTGGTTTCATAATTAGCATGTACGCTATCTAATTAATTACTTTTACTATTAAGCTTAACTATACGATAAATAACCCGAAAACCTGTATATTACATTTAATTTAAAAGCTAATAAATTAAATATTAACATACGGTAACCACAAATTGTCTTTATGTCAGGAACATTAAGTGCATGGTGCAACGCGGTCATGGTGTCCATAAATTTCCAATATAAACAAGTATATGTTTATCGACGCGTAAGATATAAATCACACATCCGCCACTTGGGTACACTTGCCAATAGGGTTGACAAAAGCTAAAGTGCCCAAGTAAAAACCCTTTTAGTTTTGCCCATATATTAAATAC